GTCCTCTACACATGGGCACGTATGTACCAATTTTTTTAAACACCATATAATAATTACTTCTCAAATTACAGATAACACACCTAAGGAATGTGGAAAAAAATTTACATGAAAATCAAGAGGGATGAAGAAAAAGTATATCATTATTAATATTCATAAATCAACCTTAATTGTTTTCCTATACAATGCATAATTAGAATTTGTGATGAACTTACCAACAATGTGGTCTGATCTTGAATTTATTTTACTCTAAAAAAATTGTAGCAGTAGTCATCAGTTTTGAAATTAATGTTCCAGCTGATGATTAATTAATGAATAATGGTTTAAATCCCAGTTGCAATTTTTTATTATCTCGAAAATAATATCACCTAAAACTTTAACAAAATGAATTGATAAATTAAAAATAAAATGAAAAACTAGTCATTTCTATTTAATCATGGGAATTTGACAACTGAATCTCTGTTTAATTTTCATGTTAAACCAGAATTTAAATTTGAATTTTGAGTTAAAATTGAGCAGACTAATTCATCAACTACTGCCTCAATATATCATTTTAAACTCATGAGAAATTTTTATTTGAATCTTTAATTTCAAAATCAGTTTCATGTTTGTCAACTTTTCTCCATGCCTCTTGGCAATGTTAATTAAATATTGGATGGTGCAATGAATAAATTTCATTAACAGAAACCTAGTGTCATGTTTTATATCAAATAAATTATCCATTTTTATAAAAAACAGATGAATGACATTTAGTCTAAAATTAAGAAAAAGCAACTACAACAAAACAACTGACTTTGAAAAATGACCAAGAGTCTTGATTATATGTAGTACTACTTCAAGGAACAATAATATTCCAAATTTTAACTGGAAATTTCTATTGAATAGAAATGATGGTATTAGAAAAAGAACAGGGTGGTTTTGAAGAAACAAACTAAATAACAAAATGCAAATATGCTGAGTCAAATTTTTCTTTAGTTTTCAACTGAAATTTCTCTTCTTAAAATATAAACATCAGGAATTCAGGCTCATGACACACCCCACATTACCAGAACCAGCTGTCTCTCTTCCAGGCACTAACCATAATTTCCTGGACTTCTTCTGGATCTTACCACTGACTAAATAATCAATCTCTGGTTGAGAACTGCAAATTTCAACAATATGAACAAGTTTTGCAGATAGTGTATGAGTTTTTAAAAAAATAGAGGGACTGCATTTTAACAATATAGAAGGTTTAAAGAAGATTGGAAATATAGATCATCTGACTCAGTAATACAACATATGTAGCTATGAATCACTTAAAGCTTTGAGTTGTGCTGCCTCTTGTGCTGGTAGGACTTGCCTGCTATGTTCAGCGATGGAAGTGGAACAGGGGCAGGAGCATAGTTTCTTCCCACATGCTTTTAAGAACTTTAAAAAAGAAATGAGACACTCAATCTGTGAGTTGTATTCCAGCTGGAAAGAAGTAAAAGGAACTGTTAACCCTCAAAACATATGGCACACCCATCACAAGACCACCACAATTTAATAAAAGGGAATTTTAGTTTTTGAAAGCATCAAAACAAGTCCATGGTACAGGACAGTACCACAACTCAATTAATTTTGGCAATTAATCTATTGCACATAAATTATTTTTCCCTTACATTGTATCACACATAATTGCTTCAAATTGTTGCAATATTTAATGAAATAATTTTTGAGCGGTGGTATTCTTCTTCAAGGGGTGCGATATGTATACAATATTGAACATTTTTCTTTGGAAAGGTATTTTTTAATGTAATTTATTACACACAAGCGATGAGTTGATAATCTGCTCAAGTGAATTACAATCAACATTAACCTCTTAATTAGTTAAATTAGCTCATAAGTGTTTTTTGATAAACTTCATTAATATAATAGAGCTCACGTAAAAATCTAGGAATTTCTGGTAGATAGTGTCCTCAAAAACACATGTAGAAGAAACACTAACAGGAGGAAACTTGATAGCATTACCTGCTTGCTCGGTGCTGTACACTACAAGTGATTTAGCTAGTGTTCGCATTTTTTGACAGGGTACCTGCCATTGACTGCTAACTGAACTGAGGGTTGCCCAATACACTGCAGTATGCAACATATAATCTAATGTAGATACCATGCAAAATTAGCGATTATGGTGGAAATGAGTGGGCATGTCAAGCCCATGCATTCACCTGGCTAGTTAATTTTCTGAGCAAAAAGCACACATCAACACATACCAGTTACTTGAAATTAAAAACACTTTTTAAATTCTCAGCCAATATACTTGCTTTGAAAGACTGCAGCAATATTGGCAGGCAAATGTATTATTATACTAATTATAGTACCATTATTATATTTGATAATCTTCCAAAAAAGAAAGTATAGCTTCTTCAATTCATTTCTTTGAAACTAACAGGACTCAATCAAGTTAATCTGAGAACAATCATCTACAAAACATCTTACTACAATACATCATGATGATGGAGCACACTTCAAGGCAAAGAACATTTGACATAAAGGTTTAGATGTCACACTGAATATTGCTGACATCTTACAGGGAGCATTACATCAAATACTAGCGTAACACGAGCAAGGCAGGAGCAGGAGAGCAGGTGTCGCTAGAGAGGTGGACAGAGAGTGGCAGAAAAAAGCAGCATCAGCAGCAAAGACCAAGAAAAGGCACCAACTGACCACAAGAGCAGATAGATAGGTGTGACAGGGCAGCACCATCTTGCCATGTGCATGCAACCAGCTGCATGACTTGGCTTGTGACAGAACACGGAAACAATTGTAGGGAACACATTCACACATATAAAGACTCTCACAACAATGAACTGATGCAACATGCCATGTTGCTTATTTAAGTGACTCATCCACATGACAAAAGTTAGGTAAAATACCTCAGATAAAACTTTCCTCGTCTTAAGAACTGGACAAGTAAGTTTGAGTGATGATTACTTATCCTGTTTTCACATAGCACATCTAGCCAGCTAGATGCGAGTTTCTGTTTGGCAGATATGATTCTCGTCTAAGAAACACGATGAAGTGAATCAACATTTGCAACAATATGTTGTTCACATTTTTTAGAATATTACAAAATATATATACAACATCTATGTCTAATAAAATACCTATAAGAATTCAATGTACATTAAATATATTTTCTTATTAACTAAATATCTAAAAACACTAAACTATATAATGAAAATGTGCATTTTAATATTTATCTATTTGCCATGTGAATGAAACACTTTAAAGAACTTTTCAAGATATAAATTCCTACTTGGTCAATACACATTCAAATTACAATTCATAACTTCCAAAACTATACGTCAAACATCATTTGCATATATAATTCACAATAAGGAATTCTAAACAACTCTGATGTAGATATATTGGCAACATGACACTTTCACACCGACATATACAGACACAATCATTCAGATTACAAATCATCTGCAACACTTTACACCTTTTTTTCATTTTAGAACACAAAATCACATTATATTGTCAAATGTGCATCTTGCTCCAAACGATAATAAATGCTTTAAGGTTTAGATAACATTATGATACACTGAGGTCTGTGGTTGCAGGACTAGAATCGGGACAGT